GATGGAATTCAAGCACAGGTCAGTCCAAGTTTGTGCTCTCCCTTTGACGGCACTATGCTGCCTCAGTCAAGGCATCAGAGTGGAAGCTAGAGAACAGAAGCTGAGAGGACGCCAACTACCTGAATTGGAGGGAGTGGCCACCATCAATGGGTAGACCGTGGAGAAGCATGGGGTTTTTCTCTGAAGTCAGAGAAAAACCTTCACTGGCTGCCCAGGTTTACACAGTATTAATCCTTGCGATCTTCAGCTGTGCACGGGATAAAACTGACCGTGCTTATCTTCCCACAAAGAAAGTAAGTTAGAACACCACTATGAATCTACATGGCACACACCAACATGGCTTAAAGGCAATTTATCTCGATCGTAAAAGATGCCTGATTTTTTCTTCTTCTTCTTCAGAAAGGCAGCTTGGTTTGCATTAATCGAGCTAAGACTTTTATCCTGCTTTATAGCCTGGCACAAAAACAGTTATAACAGTAAGCCCGAATCATCGAGAAGGTGGGCAGTCATAGTTTGCAATTTAGGGAATCAGGGGAGAGTAAAATCCACATGGGAAAGATTTCCATTGAGTGCCCATTTGTGATGGTACAGTGAGTTTACACTACTACGGAGAGCCCGCCGCTCCAAACACATGGCAATGATAGACAAAACATAAAAAGGTAAAATAGGAAATCCATGGCCAGGACAAAACAAAAGCGATAATTGTCTCCATGTTGAAGTGCCAGGCTCGCTGGTCTGGAAGCAAACCATGGTAGCCAGAAGCTAAGCTCTTGTGAGGTATAGCAGTCCCAAAGTGCTCTGAGGCAGACGGAGGACAAAAGCCAGGCTCACCGATTAAAGCCAAGGACTAGGATGGAGTTACCTACAAACCCACCAACCCCTGTCTGGAAGTCTGACAAAAAAATCTGCCAGGGTCTTAGCTTCTGAGGGAGGTGAGGAGGGAGGCCACGGTCTGGCCTCACAAGTAGGAGCTGAGCTAAGCCACCAGCTGGCTCTGTGCATGGATCTCCAATATGCCCAAGAGCACCCGGGGGCCAGCGATATGGATATGTCCTATAAAATGGTTTTGATCATAACAACTGACTGGTATTTTGCAATAGTCTGGTAAGGAGAAAAAAAAATGCTGAGCAGGCTAAATTCCTTCTCTCGATAGTCTTTCATCTTTGGAGAGGCAAAATTAGAAAACGTGATTTTTTTTTTGTTTGAAAACTAACCAACCTAGATATCCTCATGGTCCTTTTAAGATCTTGTTGGGTGGACTGTGAACATGGGAATGATGATTATTGTCTATAAATGGTCAGCTAGACTGAAAGTGTGGAAAGGATGAGGGAATTAACATTTATTGAACAATTGGGCATACTTGTTAAAAGCATTGTCTCAGGGGACAGATTTTCGGGGTTTTAATCTGAACTCTGACACTTAATCTCAACCTTGCCTCTATTTTTATTTGAAAAACGGGGATAGGACTCTCGTAGGAATTAAAAGCACTTAGAACAGCATCCAGCACATAGAAAGCACTCTATGTGAGAGTTAGCTACTATTATTATTAGTCATCAATAGATGCTGGAAACATCAGAAAATTGTTTTAAAAAATCTTGTGAGGTAGGTATTTTCCTTACCATACACATATGGGAAAACTTAAGCAATGAGAAGTCAAACAAAATGACCAAAGTCACACAACTACAGAGTGGCAGAGGATTTAGATGCTGCCCAGGCCAAGGTTTTATCCCACAGAAGAGAAAACTGCAGCTCATATTTTGACATACCTCAAGTCATCTTGTGAGTCAGTGCCAGAACGGTGCCTAAAAACTCAGCAATGGGACTTTTCCTGTCAGTGGTTCTCAAACTTTGGAGTGCGTTAGAATCCCCTGGAGGGCTTGCTAAAACAAACTGCTGGTCCCCAGGCCCAGATTTTCTGATTTAGTAGGTGTGGGGTAGGACTTGAAAAAAACTGCATTTCTAGGAATTTCTCAAATGATGCTGAGGCAGCTGGTCTGGGGACACTACTTTGGGAACCACCACCACAGCACACCATGGTTCTTACATCTTTTTTCTTTTTCATCATGGAATATAGAGTCTTTGGTCTGCAAACACTTTGAAAGAAATAGGAACCAGTGATGAAAACTAAAGAAAAATACACAGCTAGTTGCACAAAGGTAAGGTGATCAGCCAACTGTCCTGGTTTGGGTGGGACTCTCCTAGTTTTAAAATGGAAATTTCTGCAGTCCTGAAAAACCCTCAGTCATGAGCACACGGAGATGCTTGGTCACTCTAGAGCTGCGGTCCCCAGCCTTTTTGGCATCAGGGATGACCAGTTTTGTAGAAGACAGTTTTTCCACAGAGGGAGAGGCGGTGGGGTGGGGTGGGAGAGGGTCGCCAGGCATTAGATTCTCATAAGGAGCACAACCTAGATCCCTCTCCTTCACGCAGTTCATAATAGGGTTCACACTCCTATGAGAATCTAATGCCGCTGCTGATCTGACAGGAGATGGAGCTTCACTGGCCCGCTCCCCTCCTGCTGTGCGGCCCAGTTCCTAACAGGCCACAGACAGGTACTGGTCTGCTGCCTGGGGGTTGAGTGAACAAAAAATGAAGGTGAACAAAATTCAGCGTCAGTTAACTGCCAAACACAAAAGGACATACTTACAGTGAATGTGGTAATTTCTGGTGAGTTTGTTTGAAAAGGAATAATTCATTTATTTTTCTTCTGACAAATCTGTATTGTGAAACTACTGTTTGTAAGGCACTGTGATGGGGGCTGTGCTCCTGACCCTACAGATCTCATTCCATCATAGCACAAGGTGAAAATGACTCTACAGTGAGCTTGGTAGACACAGACCCATGCTTATATACCTAGAAGAGATGTAAAAAAGAAACATCTCACACAGAAAGTTTTCAACGCTTCGTGACCAGCACTCAAATAATTCCCTTCCCTTTTTCTTCAATGTACTGAAGGGACTGGTTGAAAATTTAAGAAAAGGAGGGTGAAATGATTACCGGACCAAGGTCCCGGGAGAGACAAAAGGTAAGGGGAGTCCTTCAGTAAGGGGCAAATTTATTTATTTATTTATTTTGGCCCTTCTCTGTCCAGGGCCACGAACGTGTCCTTTGCTTGTCATAAATCAGTGCTCACCTCAGCTATAGTGTAATCTTTAAGGCTAATTTATGCAAAACTTCCGAAAAGGTAAATATCCTCACGAAGACTAATGGTGACAGACTTTAGGAGTGCCTAATAGTGGAGATAAAAGACTGCATGGTTAAAATGATGTTGCTTCTGTTCTGATTGCTAAAGGGTATACTCCTTAAGATCCAAACTTAATTATCAATCCTTTGACCTAAGAGCAAAAACATTTTCATGGAAGACCCCTAGAGATTCCTATACAGTACAAATAAAATGCAGAAATATTTTGAGAACACATTTTGAAGCACTAGATGGGTCCACAAAAAAGTAACGTATGAACTTATCTGGAGAATGGGTCACCTGAGACCCAGTCCCCACCACTACACAATATATGTCCATGTAACGAACACACATGTGTATCCCTGGACTCTAAAATTAAAAGTTAAATAATAATAATAATAATAATAATAAAAAACAACATAGAAACTACCAAAAGTGGCCTAGGAACTCCCGGGAAACATCAGATTGGGCTCTATTCATTGTCAGAATACTGACTTTTATGTGCTCTGTGATTCCTATCTTCACTAATAATGCTTTTACCCCCCTCTTGTGTACCTCCTAGCTAGATTCTCTGTCATCATTCTACAGTGGTCAGTGCGGTTATTGTACAGTTTCGCTTTCAATGAAAGGTGGAGGAAAAGAAGCCTTATACCCTCCCCACCCAATACATAAAAGAAGCCACTTAAAAAAATAAAAGGAGCAAAGCATTAGATCTCACTCTGTCAAATCTTGGCAATTAACATGTATAATATTTTAAGAGAGAGAGAGAGAAAAAAAAAAAGATTAGCGGGCATGGGGGAAAATAGATTACATACTTAATGCCACCAAATTGCCAAAATACAGATTTGGATGGTAATCTCCAGTTCTCTGGAGGTACATCATCTACCATGCTGAGTTCTCTGAACACAATCTTACAGAACAGCCCTGTGTACTCTTTCCTCTGTGTGTGTGTGTGTGAAGAATTAGCATATGAAACCTCACATCTCTAAAAACTTTCTGCAATTATCTTTCACAGAATTACCAAACCCATGAGTTTTTTCAACAGGCGCTGTTGTAACTTCCTAGTTCAGCAACTTTAGTGATGAGCTGGGTAGAGCTAACCCTTCTCGGAAGGTTAAGACACTCAGTTCCCACCTTATCACTGAGCTTGTGCTGCCAAGGAATTACTACAGCATTTGGAGTTCCACTTGACTATGGAGAAAAATCTAGCATTTCAGCTAAACCTTTTTGATCCACAGGTCTATGTAAAGGACTGTCCCAAGGTGTTCTCTAGCCCATGGGTTCTCAAAGTATGGTCTGAAGACATCTGGAGGAGGCGTCCCTGAGACCCTTTTAGTGGGTCTGTGAGTTAAAAATTATTTTGTGTAACGGCACTGAGTTACATTCAATGTAGTATTTTTCTTTTGAAATTAAACAGACTTTGGAAACTAAGATATGTCTAGCTCTGTAGTGGGTTAAATGGAAGTTGCAAAGGCAATAGTAGCTTTTCTCATTCTCATTATCTTATGAGTACACAGAGGACTTTTCCAGAGGCTATATGACATATGACCATGTCACCTATCTGATAGCTGAGGGATGTGTGCTTCTGTGTTCCTGAGTTTTAAACGTTTCTCCATCTTAGTATCTAATTAATACCAATGGATAGAAACCATACCCAATAACTCTATTTAGGGCCCTCGATAACTTTTAAGGGTGTTGAGGTATCCTAAGACCACAACTTTTATAAATTGCTGCTTTATCAGGATTTTGTTATTTCTAGAATGCATTTCTTTCTAACTGATCTAGTTGGTAAAACGTTTTACCTCATAACTTTTATTGCTTTCCTATCAATCTAGAGACTATATTCCTGAAGTAAATTGACCAAAATTATAGCAAAAGGTTTTTTAAAAAAACAAGCGGGCTCATATTATAACGTGAGGGAAGAGAGCTACCCTACTAGAGATGGCTGACATCAGACAGAGGCCCCTTCTCCAACAGGTTTCCTCCACTAGAGAAAAGGACTGCTTCTGTTTTGTGGGATGGGTAAGGAGACAATCTGAAGTAGGTTTTGACACAGTATCATTCTGCTGATGTGAGATTCTGGTAGCCAAGGTGCCAGGTGTATTCATAATTCTGATGTTGTCAATTTTAAGCCTGAAGCCCCAAGAGACGAGCCGTGTTTAATACATCATCTCTTGTTAAATAGCAGCCACAGAGTTGGCGGTAGCCAGTGAAGCACTCCCTGCCATGTAGGACACGCCAGTTGTCTATAAATAGGACCTGTGAGTGGGCAAGAAGAGAGAGAAAACACCATCAGAACAAGGGCGGGCCAAAGAAACCCTAAGTCAGAAGAGATCATTGAAAAGAAAAACTTTAGGTTGTTCTCTGGTTATAGCCAATGAGGTATTTTTCTTTTGAAATTAAATAGACTTTTGGAAATTAAGATGTGTATAGCCCTGTAATAGGCTAAATGGAAGTTGCAAAGGCAATCGGAGGCTACAGTAGGCTATGCACTTGAGAAGCTTCTGTTTCTTGAGTAATTGCCCTCCCTCTTATCAAAGCAAACCTAGTAATTGGTTTCCTTCTTTTTCTTTCTCTTTAATTCTTATTCTGTACTTTCTCAAAGGGTTAAACTATTTCATTATGTTTTGTGCTAAACTGAAGATATCCTTCATCTCAGAGGAAATGTCAAAATAAAAATAATGAAATCATGAAACTGAAAGGACCCTTGGGGATCATCCAGCTAAACCCCCCCATCGCACAAATAGAGTCTCTGCTTCCTAGAACACCCAGAAAGAACTCTTTTCTCTCTTCTCCCTTTGTGACACTGTGACTCACATATTAAATAAACACCCGTTCATCACTGCTTCAGTATAACAAGCTTATTTGACATCCTTAGAGTTTAGGACCCACCCTGCCAGGCTTTAGTTTGACCCAAAACTCATTCTCAGGTCTCCTCAACTCTGCTGTTAGAGTTCGGTGTGCTCTATACCAACGATGGACGACATCATAAGGTATGGTATTGATGACAGCCCGGTCGTAGTTGTTGTACCTAACATGGAAGCACGAGAAGAAAGATCTCAAACACACGTCAAAGACATCTGTTGCTTATTGAACAATTTTATATAAGGCTTTCCCTGTGTTCACTACTTGTCCCAGAGATGAAGTGACGTTAAGTCAATCCTCTCAGAAATACAGGATCGGAGAGAGGGGTTCCATTGCCTGTTGACCGTATATGTTTTTCTTTGGAGAATCTGGGGGTACAGGATCGCAGCTAAGTTCCAGCTGGTTTCTCCCATCTTAGGATGTGATGTTCTGACTGAGGCACTTTCCAGAGAGTAAGTCCGCATTGGCCAAAGTTCATGGGAGCATCGGGGAAAGCTCTGAGCTTTTTCCTCAGCAAGCTGAGGCAGGCAAGAGACATTGTACTAACAAAGCTTTCTTTTTAACAGGATGACTCATAACTTCTCAAGTGTCTCCCTTTATGGGAGAAATCCCAGTTATAGCCGAGTGGACAGTTCACCCAGGGATATTTGATCATTCATTCAATCCTAGCATTTACATGAACACTGCCTGTGCACTAGGCAAGCGTTGCAGATACGATGGTGAATATAGCAGACATGACACAACCTCAGCCTTCGAGGAGCTCTCAGCCTTCTATTGAGGAAGGTAGATGATAAATAAGAAGTACATAAACAAGATAATTTCAGCCAGTTGCAAATGCCATGGAAAAATAACAGTGTTACGTGATAAAGTGTGACTGGGAAATCTATTTAAACTGGAATGTTGAGTGGAGGGCTTTTTGAGGAAGTGACATTTGAGCTGGTACCTGTATGGTAAGAAACCAGCGATGTAACAAGCTGAGGGGGGGAGTGTTCTGGGCAGAGGGAACAGCAAGTACAAAGACTTGGGGTGGAATGGAATTTTATTGTGTTTGCAGAACAGCAAGAAGGCCATGAGCCTGGAGCTAAGCAAGCAAGGGGAATAATGGTGGGAGAAATGATATGGTGGATGCAGGGTAGTCAGAGGCCAAGGTAAAGACTTTAAACACGGGAAGCCACTGGAAAACCCTGGCTAAGATGAAGGACTTCTGTTTTTGCTATGAACATTCTATTGCATGTCTTTTGGCAAACATACATTCATTTCTGTCTGATATAAACTGAGGAATGGAAGTTCTGGGCCATTAAGGTATGTGTGTGCTCAGCCTTAATTGATAATGCCAAAGGTATTATTTTCAAAGAGAAACGAGCATCCCGTGGCACCATTTTTGGACATCACGCAACATTCATTAGTGTTAGATAGTACATGGCACAATCAGAATATCACAATATTCTTAGTTTCCCCATATAGAAAATGAGCATACTAACACCCGCTTAGCTGATCTCACAGGGCTATGGTGAGAATCAAGTGAAAGAATACAGTAGTCTTTCCTCCCAGGCTTCAAGGCGCCACAACTGGAAGGGGAAAAGGGCAAGAAAGCATCGTCTTCTTCAGGTCCCCCCCCCCACCCTTTTTCGTTTTTCACACAGAGGCTCCTCTGTTTCCCAGGCTGGAGTGCAGTGGTGCAATTCACAGTTCATTTCAGCCTCTAACTCCTGGGCTCCAGTGATCTTCCTCCTCAGCCTCCCGAGTAGCTGGGGCCACAGGCGTGCACCACCACGCCTGACTAATTTTTCAATTTTTTAGAGAGACAAGGTCTTTCTTTGTTGCCCCGGCTGGTCTCAAAGTCCTGGTCTCAAGCGATCTTCCAACCTCAGCCTCCCAAGGGATTATAGTCATGAGCCACTGCACCCAACCTTCACTAGGGTTTTGACACTCATTGTCACTTCAGGAAATGTCCAGCGCTGCATTAGGCACTTGCACAGATATTCTCTAATTTCCCCCCGTATCATCCCAGAAGGGAAGGTGTTAGTAATCTCCTTTTACATGTAAGGCAACTGAAACTTGGAGAAGTTAAACCTGCCACAGGGTTTATAAGTAGCCCAGCGGTTTTGAACTTAGGTCTCCCTAAATCGTTAACTCACCATTTATTCCAGAGAGCAGAAGAAATTATTGGAATTCCTGTGCTTGTTCATAAGGCCAACTTTTTACAGATCATAATTGTAATCTCTTGACAGTAAGTACAGACTTACAGTTTACAAGTATTTTCACACACACTATCTCATTGACCCTCTAAACTATCGTTTAACCCTGTGAGGTAAGTAATACAGCTATTAATCTTACTTCATAGATAAAAAAACAAACAAAACAATAAAGCCTTGTGATTTGCCCAAGGCTACATGGGATCTAGTATTCACTATTTATACTAGGTGACATCGTTTTCTAAAGTCAACAACTGGAAACTGCAGGAAAAAATTAACATTAAAATTCATAAGAAGGCAGTAAAGAAGGAATGGGGAAAAACTAGAGTGGGCAACGAGATAACAAAAATTTTAAATGTATGATTTCATTAAATGTTAATGGACTAGGTATAAGGCTAGACATACATATAGGTGAATGTTATAGAATTGAGAGTCAGATATAAGCCCATATATCTATATATCATTGATTTCCAGTAAGGGTGCTAAGACTATTCAGTGGAGGAAAGAAAAATCTCTTAGCCGGGCTCGGTGGCTCAGCCTGTAATCCCGCACTTTGGGAGGCTGAGGTGAGTGGATTGCCTGAGCCCGCGGGTTCGAGACCCGCCTGGGCAACTTGACGACACCTCATCTCTACAATAAATCAAAAAATCAGCCCGGCGTGGTAGCGCATGCCTGTAATTCTGGCTACTCGGAAGACTGAGGCGGAAGGATCGCCGGAGCCCAGGAGGTCGAGGCTGCGGTGGCCGGGAGCGGCCACTGCACTCCAGTCTGGGTGACAGAGTGAGACTCCAACTCAAAAAAAAGAAAAAGAAAAATCTCTTTAACAATGGTGCTGAGGTAACATCCTTAAGCAAAAGAATAGGATTGCACCCTTACCTCACACTATAAGCAAAAATTTACTAAAAATTAATTAGATGTAAATGTTAAGCTAAATGTAAGATCTCAAACTGTACCACTCTTAGGACAAGTCACAGGAGTAAAGCGTCATGACTTTGGATCAGGCAAAGCCTTCTTAGATACAACACAAGCAATGAAAAAAAAGATAAATTGAACTTCATCAAAACGTAAAGCTTTACTGCGCCAAATAATCCACTCGTCAAACGTCAAGCCAAAGAATAGGAGAAAACAGTTGCAAATAACATACCCAACAAGGAACATGACTTCAAAATATATAAAGAAGTCATGAAACTTACCAACAAGAAGACAAATGATCTAATTTAGAAATAGTAAAAATATTTTACCAAAGAAGATATGCAAACGGTCTAGAAGCACATTAAGTATGCTCAGTATCATTAGTTATCAGAGAGATGAAAATGAAAAACCATGGCGATATGCCACTTTATACCCACTAGGATGGCTGTAATAAAAAAAGACAGACAATAAGTGTCAGTAAAGAAACTGAACCTTTCGTATAATTACTGAGGAAGTGAAAACTGATGCAGCCACTGTGGAAAACAGGTTTACAGTTGCTAAAAATGTTAACCATAGAATTATCAATTGATTATGCCGGATGGTATTTTTAAATATTCCCTCTTTTAATTTTCCAATTTCCTTTTATTATTTCAAGTTTCATACCATGGCAGGAAAAGATACTTAATGCGATTTGTATCTTAAACTTTTAAAGACTTTTTTGTAGCCTAATATATTATCTATCCTGGAGAATATTTCATTTGTGCATGGAAGTAATGTGTATTCTGCTGCTTTTCAATGGATTATTTTGTATATGACAGTTAGATCCATTTGCTCCAAAGTTTAGTTCGCATGCAATGTTTCTTTATTGATTTTCTCTCTGCGTGATCTATCCGTTGTTGAAAGTGGAGCATTGAGTTCTATTTCTCTCTTCAGTTATATAATATTTGCTTTATATATTGTGTTCCACTGTAGGGTAGAGATATATTTACCATTGTGAGGTCTTCTTGATAGAGTGTGTCCTTTATTTTAATATAAATATCTTATGTGTCTCTTGCTACTGTTATAAAAATTCTTATGTTAACAGTAGCAAATATCTGTCTGGGGATGGGGAAACACCTCTTATCAACAGGGTGCCTGAATGAAACGTAATTGTACACCTAACCCTTAACTGTACCCCACAAAACCATAATAAAAAATATTGATTAAAAAAAAAATCCTTATGTAATTGGTGGTAAATTTGAAAAGCGAGAGTCATGACTTACCGTGTTGAACCAATGATGAGTTTCTTCCATTTGGATATACATATTTTGGGGAGGTTTTGATTTTAGGTATGACTGTTGTTCAAGCCAAACTACAAAATATCTGCAATTAAAAGGAAGCCCTAGAACCCCTGTATTACAAAATGTCAAGCCAAGATGGTGACAAATAATGAAGATTATTCTTATTGCTTACCCAAAACACTTTAATGATAATAATTTAGTGACTGTGAGGGTCCTCTTATATGCAGATTTCCTTCCACCTTTGCCATCCCTAAGACAGCAAGACCAACCCCTCCTCTTCCTCAGACTACTCAACATGAAGACAATGAGGATAAAGACCATTATGATGATCCACTTCCACTTCATGAATAGTACATATATTTTCTCTTCCTTATTATTTTCTTAGAACATTTTCTTTTCTCTACCTTATTTTATTGTAGGAATACAGTACATAATACATATAACATTAAAAAATATGTGCTAATCGACTATGTTATCAGTAAGGCTTTTGGCCAACGGTAAGCTACCAGTAGTTAAGTTTTGGGGGAGTTGGAAGTTATATGCAGATTTTCTTCTTGTAATTTATTTTTTTCTTTCTTGCTTTAATTTTTATTTTAAAGATGCGGGGTAAAATCCGTGGTTAGGTACATAAGTGATCATCGTACAGGTAAAGTTTGGACATCCTCTTGGTTCCCACTTCACCTGGTTTGAGATTGGATACCCTTATTGATGTTATGTGCCCCCCCTGGCAGTGTCCCACTATGGCTAATCCCTTTCTTATAGTATTATGATAAATTTTC